TTTTCTCTCCCCTGAGAAAAGGAAAAGGAGGATTTAGTTTCCATCCAAGTGAAGTGAAAGGCAGAAGAAGTTTGAAGAAAAATTCTAAGCCCCTTGTTTCAATTACCACAAACCTTTAAAAAATCTTCTATCAAAAATAATGTTTCATATTTTAGTAGAGTTAACACAGTGCTTATTGGCCAAAAATAAATCTTGACCCTAAGATCTTGGCTTTTTAAATGCTCTTGATAACAACCCATGATAAGAAACATTCTATATCACGATCCAGGACCTATATACACATATGAAAAGAAAGATTATGAAATAATACCTCTACCTATTAAATGCAATGTAGTCTAACATTTATTTTTGTTTAATGTCATGTTAAAACTATGTTGGTTAAGATCCCACTATGATACTCTCCCCTTATTCACAGTTTTGCCTTCCATAGTTTCAGTTACCCACAATTAACTGCAGTCTGAAAATGTTAACTGGAAAATTCAGAAATAAACAATTCATAGGTTCTTTATTGTGTGCCATTCTGATTAGTGTGATGAAATCTTGTATTGCTCCACTCCAACCCACCTGACATGTAAATAATCCCTCTGTCCAGCATGTTCACACTATAGCCACCCTTCTGCTAGTCACGTAGAGGCCATCTCAGTGATGACATTAACTGTCATCGTATCACAGCACTTGTGTCCAAGTAACTCTTATTTTACTTAATAATGGCCTCAGAGTACAAAAGTAGTGATGCTGGTGATTCAGATATGCCAAAAAGAAGGCGTAAAGTACTTCTTCTAAGTTAAAAGGTGAACATTCTCAACTTCAGGAAAGGAAAAACAAGAACTGTATGCTGAGGTTGCTGAGATTTATCATAAGCTATTGCCATTACTCTCTTACTCTGCCTAATTTATAAATTAAACTATCACTGGTATGTATGTAAAACATACACAGGAAAAACATAGTATAGACAGGGTTTCATGCTATTCACAGTTTCAGGCACCCACTGGGGTTCTTGGAATGTATCTCCCATGGATGAATAGGGACTTCTCCAGGGGGTCACAACCCACGGATGGAAAACATCACCCTAAGAAATGGGAAGGTTGCGGAAGACTTCAAAAACATGAGTCATAAATCCCCTCACCCTTTCTGTATTTCATCTGTATTTCAAGAATAGAAGAAAGTCCAGCCCATTTTCTTATCCCTGTATGTACAGTTCACATGCTGCTGTTTGACAGTAAACAAGGGGTTTCTCATGTGTTTGGTTACTGTAGCTGATCAGGCTTGTTGACAAGAAGGATTTTGAAACTCTCTTAGGCAGGGCCTCAGTGCCCTTTGGGAAGCAGGATTATATATCCCCCGTGTGCTTTCAGTGAGAACCAGTAAGCAACACCTTCCACATAAAGGGCCCCAGAAGTAGGCAAGCATTCTGCCTCAGGGCTGCTGAAATGGGAACAGGGTGCTTGCATGCCTTTCCAATCATGCACAGGTTTGAAACTCACAATCACCACCATCACTGCCGCCACCACCCTCAAGCAGAGAGTGCTCATTGTGCTCCTCCGTGTGCCTTTGTGTTCAGCCAAAATCCTAATGACAAAGGTTATCTGGTCTACTCTTCCCTTCCAAAGAGAGCTGACTAAACCCTTCTGGCTCACAAATGCACTATTTTCATGGTGCCACAGCAAGCACAGTGTTCCTCAGTCCTTCCTTGTGGCTTTGTATGAGTTCTAGAAGTTTCTACCATCACATTTTCTACTACAGTATTTCATGCTTACAATGTCTTTTCCTCCTGCCCACACAAATCCCATCAATCCTTCAAGATTGTATCCCAGGCCCTCTAGGAAGCCTCCCAAAACTCTGTGGCTGCTGTCCATTCTTTGCCCTGCCTTTGGACTGAGATTAAATTCAATACATTTGTTCAACCACTTGCTTCTTAAATCCTATTTAACAGACAGTTAATGGGCATTTATTGACTGACTCCATTTAAAGAAGAGTATTTGTATGACACTTTTAGAATTTAATCTTAAGTGAGCTTTCTCTACAAGATATATATCAAGGAGTAGATAAGGAAAGTTTAACATTTTCTCATTCAGATATTTAAATTATGTAATTATTAAAGAAATTATTAAGCCATTCATCTTCATGTACTGACAATTGGGGATTATAATGACGCTGGCTGTTGATTTTTCTAATATACTATCATTGGGGAGATGCTTGTTTTAGACAACTCAATTATTGTAAGGAGATCACTGAACTTTACAACTTGGAAAGAATGAAAGATGACTTATTCCCTCTCGGATGAGGAAATGTAACCAAGAAAAGGTGAACTAATGCGCTTCAGATTACCTTGTAGAAAATAAAAGAGTTGGGGCTGAACCCCAAATCTTTGTTCTCTAAAGAATTCAGAAGCTAGAAGGCTTAAAAACTTCACACTGCCCAGCGCTTCAGTTTCATTTCCCCTGTTCCCAGACTTCCTGTCTTCCACCAGATCCCTCTGTCTCGCCACTGAGGAACTTCCCCAGTCCCTCAACACCAAACAGTCATCCTGCCATTAACCAATTCCCCAGTGCTGCTTCATCTTAATCCCACGACTTCTCTTATCCTACTTGGCAATTTTGTTGTCTATTCCGGTTTTTCTGTTACCCTACACCACACCTGTCAAAACCACAAAGCCCCTTTATTTTAAACTCCTCATAACTGTTCCAGATAGTTACATACAATAGTATGAAATGAAGCCAGTGGCCATGATAAATACACAGTCCTGTTCATTCCACCTGGGAGTACAGAAGCCTTTTCTATCTCCTGCTGTAAACTATTGATAATAGTATAATATACTGAAAAAATGATTTTTCAAGAAGGCAGATAATTCCTCAAGACACATAACCAACCAAATGATTAAGGCTACGAGTTAAACGGGACAGGGCAGAGTTGATCCACACAATCTATAAATAGCAAACTTTGCTCTTTACCAAAAACATCTATACCCTTTCTAGCTCAAGAAGGGACGTAATAATGAATGGGAACTTGCCCTTTCTTTCTCTTGTTATGGCACGAAAAAGAGAATGAGGTGGTCAGAGCAGAAGACTGGGCAAAGAGGACAGCAGCAAAAGTCCAAGTAATGAAAACTAGCTACAGAGAGTGGTGTTAAACATGTACATTCTGGAGGCCAGATGAACAGCGAGTCTTGGCCCCACAGTAACAGCAAAATGATGTTGGACATACTGCGCACACTCCCTGCTCAGTTCTTTATCCGGTCAACGGTGATAGTAGTAGCACTTGCCTCACAGGGTTGTCATGAGGATTAGACAAAAACATGGCAGTATTTAGCTCAAACTAAGCATTATTTTTTTAAAAGAAACCTTCAATTTAAAATTATTTTAACAATTGTCCTGTTTCTCTGCTGCCCTCCAAATCTTGCAAGCAGTATCAGTACCTAGAGATCACATTTTCCTTCCACACTACATGTACTCTGCACCCTCCAATATCAATTATCCCTTCAGAATTTATTTTATAGTCCCTTCACTTTGAGACCTGACAGAAATATACTTCTGAACCTCTCAGTAACTGTCCCCACTGTGGTTGCCACTGTACAAAGAAAAAAATGGGCTCTCTACTTTAGAGGACAAGGCCTGTGAAAACATAGAAGCTCTTGCTTGTCCACATATCACAAATTCTACCTGTACCCTAGGACTGGAATTGGGAAACAACAGGCCACCTACCAGAGAGAAAACAAAATACAAGGAAAGGTTTACCACACCCACTGTGTCTTCGTAGGACAAGGCTTACAGTGCAAAGCAAAACTCCTCAGAGCTATCCGAACTCACTGTCCTACATTTCCTCCTTTTCTTTCTTAATTTTACTCTAATTAGGCTCTTGGCATCTAGGCCACCTAGGGCTTCCAGCTCCAGGACTCTGAGGCCGACTCCTTGCCCTCTTCTCTTAACATTCACATTCACTTTCATGGTGAGCTCAGGCAACCTTGCGGTATAAAGTACCAGTTCTTCCCCCAGTCTATGACTTCCAACTATATACAGGCCCGGACAAAAATCCTGAATTTCTGATTCATACACCCAATAGCCTATTCAGTAGGATTGGCACTCCACTCAGGTGTCTAACAGGATTCTAGATTTGGATCATGCTCCTGACAGTTCCCCCACACCACCTCCTCCTCCTCCTCCTCCTCCTCCTCCTCCTCCTCCTCCTCCTCCTCCTCTCTTAAGAACATTTCCCTCCTTCCCCCTCCTCCCTTCACCTTCTTCATTGGCAAATCTTATCAATTCTACTTTTAAAAAATATCCACGATCTGACCATCACCTCCAACTGCCTTCTGGCCACTGCGACTTTCTTGAGCATTGGAATAATCTTTCAAGCAGTTTTCTTGCTTCTGCTTTTATCTTACTACAGTCTCCTATTAAAACGACAGCCAGAGAGATACCCCTAAAATTTAAGTTAGATCATGTCATTTCCTGTCCAAAACTTTCCAGTAGTTTCTCATCTCCCTCAGGGAATCCCAAGTCCTTATAACCAGAGTACTGCAGCCTCTCACCATCGGCTCTCTGACCTCCTCTCCTCCTGCTCTGCCTCACTCCCCTCTAGCGACCCCAGCCTCCTTGCGGTTCAGGGGTCCTGTGCTTACTGCATCTTCTACCTGAGCCTTTTCTTACCAACCCACACGATTCACTCCCTCATTGTCATCTCTGCCCAAAAGCTTAGGTGTCCTTCACAGTGGTTTTTATTTTTAATCATAAACTATACCTGCTTAGCACTCCTAATATCCCTTTCTTGGTCTATTTTTCCACACAAGACTCATCTTGTTTCATAAATTTTACTTTTCTCCCTCTACTAGAATACTTACTTTGTCTTCCCCTATTTGAGTATAAGCTCCAGGTGGGAGGGGATTTATGTCTGTTCTTTTTCATTGCTGCATCCTAACTGCCTACTAAGTGTCTTATACACAACAGATGCTGAATAAAGATTTGCTAATGAATGGAAATAATGGCTCACTAGGCTCCTCTTACCTAAGACAGTCATCACTGTCTTCATTAGCTTCATGGGAGCCCTCCGGCGGCTGATGGACCCACTGGTATGTGGGGATAAGACATTGGTTTTCCTCTTGACATACATGTAGATCCGTAGGTATACCACCACCATGATGAAGAAGGCCACGAGGTTGGACACAGTCCAGAAAATGAGGTAACTCCTGCTGTAAATAGGGGCCAGGGAAGAACAAGTAGAGATGTTGCAGAGGCAATTCCAGCCCAATGTGGGGACTGCCCCCATGAAGATGGCGATGGCCCACACCAGCAGAATGAGCAATATCACCCTCTTTCTGGTCAAGTTGCTATGGATCCGCATCCTCATGATTGACATGTGCCTCTCCACAGCAATAACCAGCAAATTGGTAAGAGAGGCAGTCAAGCTAGTGTCCAAAAGCCCCTGGCGAAGAAACCAGCGGTTGACAGTCAAAGTTCTTGAAACTGGGCCAGTGTTAAACATCAGGAATACATAGGCAATTCCAGCAAAGAAATCTGCAGCAGCTAAATTTGCCAGTAGGTAATAGAAGGGGAAATGAAACTTTCTGTTTTTGATCACTGCTGCAATGACCAGAGAATTAGAAAAAAAAATAAAGAGGCAGAAAAATGTTCCAACACACAAAACAATTATAAGCTTCGTTCCTGTCCACTCATTGGGAGTGTCCGTGTTGCTCCTGTTATAAAAAAAGTCCATCCGTTTATCATAGTGACACTCATTCATCGTGGAGAAGAGATGAACATCCTAGAAAGAAATTTTAAAAATAAACAAATATCACTTTGTGTGAAATCAGCACTAAGACACCAATTAACACTGGCCTCTTCTTCAGGCTAACTTCAATTCCCTATCTTGCAGTAAAAATTCCCCTGCTCTAATACACTAACCCCTGACTTCCTATCACAGCATTTAGCTTGCATGCTCTCTGTTCCCCAAGGTAAGCTACAGGTTCAGTGAGACAGAGTCTGTGTCTGTTTTGTTCATCATTATGAATAACTCCAGGATCTGGTTGCCCTGCCTGTCTCAGGTAATTCCTGAATGGCTGGCTGACTGTCTGGATGAATGAATAAATATATGATCATAGAAGCATCAATATGCAAATGTGCTGAGCCCTACAATATCTACCCTGCCCTGTTAACAATTATAACACGGCACAAAGCATTAATGAATACTTTGTCCTACTGGTTTCCTGTGTATTTCTTATTTATGGGGTATGTTCATTGCAAGGGCAGGTTGGTAATATCAGGCACATTCTGGCACAGAATTACTCTTCACATGACTGAATGGCTCCTATAAGAGATCAATTTTCTACCATTTTTGATTCCACTCCTGATCCTCCTTTGTTCATCTTTAGGTTTCAAGCTACAATCACATTCACTTTAAGCACATAGTACATGGAGAGAGACTTTGGTCTTCTTTGTGTTCACTTCTTCCTTATAGTTTCTTAATCCAAACTGTACCAGTGTAGATTTGTTTACTGGATTTTCCAAGTCAATCACTTCAAGTAAATTTATTTCTCTGCGGATTCTCAACCAGAAGATGGTGGAAGATGAGGTCTCTATGGGCAAGACTTAGATCTGGAGTTTGGGAAAATAGCCAGCCCAATGTGAGAGGAAGTCTCTGGGACACGTGTGAATGGTGACTCCAAACCGGAGTATCAGGCAGACAGAGAAGGCATTGTTTCTCTCAGTACAAGATTCTAAGTACAAAACAGATATGTATCTCAGACAGTCTACTTTCTAATTTATCTTTTAATGGCACAATGATACTTTCAACCAAATTATGTATTTGCCTCTCTGTCATACAAATGGGAGGTAAAATACTATTATATACACAAACTAGGAGTAGTCTCAAGAGACAAATGATCAAGTACTTTCAATTACAAGGAAAGACTCAATTTTAATAATGTCGAAACAAAAATTATCCTCTTGGCAGACACTCATCAATGTTTAACTATAAAAATCCAATAACTTCATATAAAAATACACATATATATGATATACTGCAATAATTTTCCCAAATTAAAAATACAGATGATATAACTTTAATAGCTTCATATTTCATTATATGAATGCATCATACTTTACATACATTGTATCATACAATATATAAACATTGAACATTGAGGTTGTTTCCTGTATTTCACTTTTATAAGCAAGGCTACACTCTTGTGCACTAATCTTTATATACTTGGCCAATTATTTTTGTAGAAATAGTCCCTTGGTTTCAAATTGAGGTAAAGGATAAAAATTTATTTAAAGATTTTGATACATCTTGTTAAACTGTGCCTGAGATAGATTGTATTTCTAGTTCCAACAGTAGCATATGAGAATTAAATAGAGAATAATAATCTAGTGAAATTCAATTTAAATACCCAAGGAGAAAATTCAGTTTTCAACCATGTTGAAGAATATAAAAATTTAAGACAAAAAAAGATCCAAGAACCACATGCTATGATCTGAATGTTTGTGTCCCTCCCAAATTCATGCTGAAACCTAATCTGCATGGTGGTTGTATTAATAGGTAGGGACCTTTGAAGATGGTTAGGCCCTAAGGGCTTTGCCTTCCTGACTGGTTTAGTGTCCTTGTTAAAAGAGGCCTACGGAAGATTTTGCACCTCTTTTTGTCATTCCACCATGCAAGGATACAGCAACAGGTGCCATCTTTGAAGGAGAGATTAGAGCATTACCAGACACCATATTTGCTGGGACTTACATCTTGTACTTCCCAGCCTCCAGAACTGTAAAGCAATGAATTTCTGTTGTTTATAAATTACCTAGTTTAAGATATTTTTGTTATAACATCAGGAATAGACTAAGACATCACATGAGAAATTTTAATAATACAATTATTATGCATCCTTTCACTAATTAAAAATAATGTATGTATTCTATTGTTTGATGCCCTAGATAGTTAAGAGATCCATATTTATAATTTTTAAATTATATTATCCTTCACTAATTTTTTAGAAATATCAAGATTGACGCTGTCAAAAAATACTGAAATTCAGATACTAGAAATATATGTTAAAGTTTTCCTAATTTTATAAAAAAGGAATTGTATATCTTTAGTTTTGGTTCTTATACTTGGATGAATTTACAATTGTTTGATGTAGTAAAACTTTAACTGTTTTTACCTCAAAAATCTAACTTTTCTTCATCAAACTCAAAATGGCAATTCTTAATTCCTTTTTTAGTAAAACTTGTCTTGAGACTGAGTAGTTGAGATATTACAGAAAAATTATGATTAGCTGTGAGAACAACAGAGTTCATATGGGAACTGGTTAAAAAAAGGATTTCACAGGATAAAATATTATGCTGCAAATGAAAATCACATCTACCATAAAGCTATGGTAATAGAAAAAGAGCACATCATTATTTTAATTGCAAATACTTATACAGGTATATACACACCCAGACTCATATCCAAATATATGTATGGGTCTGTTGAAAAATTTTTAAAGCAACAGAAAAAAATAAGGAAAAATTCAAAACTGTAAATAGTTAAGTAATAGAACTGTGGACCATTTTTTAAAACTTCTTTTTCTATGTTCCACACTTTCTGTAATAACTAAATAAACTTTTAAACAGTAGTTTAAAAATTCTGTCTCAGGAACATACATTCACTAATGTATTCTACCTTTCTTCTACAATGATAGCTGTGGAAAGTGACATTTAGTGTTCAAAGGAGAAGCCTCAAACATCTGTATATGTTCACTCTTACACCAACAGAGCGTAGAGTTTTTCAATGACCAAAATAAAACAATTTTCTACTTAAAATTGCACATAACCATAAAAAAATTTTACTGATAACTGACTACATCTAGATGTCACTTTCATTAATTCTCCTATAAAACATTTTCCAATGTTATTATCCCAGAAGTAACTTGAAAATGAGTAACTTGAAGCTTTGTAGTGAATACTTCTATGATACCGTCAAGCTTGTCAACAGTTCATCGTCAGGACAGATCAACTGCAGATTTTTATATAGTCACCAAAACTGACATGTCATCTCTTGACCTTCCTCTAACCTTAGAACGTGGTTCTGTGATTTTAAACAAATTAATGTTATCTCAGCCATAGCATAAAAGTTCTGTTCACAAAGTTCCTTCTCTGACTAATTCTAAGAAGTCCTGTGACTCTCATGATCTGAGGGTTCTGTTTGAACTTCTGCACATCTATCAATAGCTCACTCACTGCCCATTATTTTCTCTCATGTTTATGCACTTATTGTCCAACTCCAACCACCAGACCATTCTGCTTTAGCAGAGCAAGGACCTTGGCTATTATGGTCACCTTCATAGTGTCAGCATTTGTTGAATGAATAAATAGATGAATGAATCCCTGTCTTACAGTATTTCCCTCCACCCCAAAATGAAGTTTGAGTTAAATGCCTTTGCTAATTTATACGTTAATCACTAAAGATGACAATTTGAGTGTTCCATCTCTTTATATGTTCCTTTAAATATGTATTTGTGTGTTCTCTTACATATGTGTCTAAGCATGTGAGTTACTTAATATCTGCACTCTGGTCTTACTATTTTTAATTACTAATTTTTGAGTACTTACTTTGTGCCAGGTGCTAGACTCAACATTTACATGGATCATCTCATTTAATTTTCCCAACGATGATGTAAATATAATTATTATACCTATTTCGCAGATGCAGAAAACTTAAAGACCTGTTAAAGGCCACACTGCTGGGAAATAAGATTCTATTCAGATAACCTTGTTCCATAAGCTCAAGTGCTCATCTACAACACAATGTTTTCTCCTTCAGCAAATGAAATACCAGACAGCACTAAGAATTATCATTATACTTACATTAACTATAGCATTACAAAAATAGAATGATCTGATCAACTAATATTTAAGACTTACCCAAACTATAAAAAAAAAAATAGATGGGTGTTCTAAATAGCTTTTTATCTTTGTTTTTTTTTTCTTTTTTAACCAGCCCTAAAAAGGGTAGAAAAGACACTTCTGAAAAATGTTTTCAATTTTTATGGTGTGCAGGACACCATATTATTGTTAATTTCTGGATTACCTTAATGTTGCTAAACATGACTCTGTGAAATCCCAAGCTGTTTTTTTGTTGTTGTTGTTTGTTTGTTTGTTTGTTTTTATACTAAAGAGTTAGAGGGTTTCATAGTTCTGACCCAGAAACAAAAGATGCTAAACTTTGGAGCAATTACCACAACTTTAAACTTCAGTAATTTAAGACTTTATAAAATGATGGTTTAGAAAGTCTATATGTGGAATCCAAATGAAAACTTCATGAGGAAAGCTTTCATTTAGACTCTTCCAAACTTGCTTCTCTGAAAAAATGTCTAGCCAGCCAGAATGTGGAAACAATTATGAAAATTAAGACATTTGAAAACCACTCAAACTGCTTTTATTTCTAGCTATATTTTATAAAACAGGTTGCTGCCTGGCTTTTTAGCTGGCTTCCAATAACACTCTCCTAGGGAGAGATATGGTGCATCAAAGACAAGGTCAGGTGCTGCTGTGCATAGTTTATTTTTCTACAGCCCACAGCATAGAGCAATTCTCTCCTCTGTAGAAATCTTACCCAGATGGAAGTTGTACTGTTATGTCCGTTTGTACCTTAGCAACCAAACCTGTATAAGCATTTTCATTTACTAAATTCTGTTTAATAATTCATGTTAATAGTGAAATTAGGTAGCATGGAAAATTTAAATTCACCTACAATCCCTGAGGTTCTTTTAGCCAACTTAAAAAGTCAGA